TGAGGGCATCATTTCTCTGTCACTGCCTTGACAACCTACTGCCACAAATAAGTAGTTATCCATTGTGCACATAGCACAGGCTTTAGAAATGACCTCCTGTGGGATCAGGCAAAGAGAATGCCAGACATCTTTGTAGTCATCATAAAAGTACATTGCACTGGATGTGCTCCTCTGTTCTGATTTTGGTATCTGTGCTGCTGTATTTCTGAAGCAGTCTTGAGGGTCCATATCTGCAACTATGACAAACCTTCTCGCTCTCATTCTCTGCTTCCGAATTCGTTCCCGCTCATCAGCCATTAGCCGTCCATAAAGGTTGGGGTCCTTAAGCACCTGTAGGTAGTTGTCTGACATGACCCCTAGGGCTGCTTGCTGAACCGATTTTTGCCCCCTTTTCTTGGCAAGATGAAGTATCTCTAAACAGTTTCCAAGATTAAGTTTACTTTTCAAAATTTCCAGATCTGTGCTGAGGAATATTTCTGCTGGAAGACCCAAGAATGAACCACATCCTACACCAGTCGCCTCCTTCACATTATGTACTTTATCTGTTGATTTTTGAAGATAGATATTCTCATTATCTGCTGAGGCCCCATGGTGAGTCACTGGGCTTGAGTGTGTCGAAATCTGAAAGTGGATGGAAAGTTCAGACTGTTCTGCTGCAGACATGTAGCTCTCCTTGCGTAGGAGTGAAGGCCTTTCAGGGTGCCTCGGGCATCCTTGCAAGGAGTCTTCCACAATAGCACTTTGTGAAAGAACCAAATCATGCGTAACGATAGGACTTACAGGAGGATCAATAAAGCTGGTGTCTTCTGTTCCGTAGTTCTTCTTTGAAACAGTGTTCTGCTCATACTGGGCAACCAAAGTTTTTGAATCTGTTATTGAATGAGAGGACGATTCAACATAATAGTCATATATTTTTCCACTCACAATCTTGTCTCCTGATCCTTTCAGTACAACTTTGGCATCTTCTACTTTGATCTCCGCCTTAGAGAGGAAGCTGGAGTAGACCCCCTGGTGCTCCAAGTCCTGTCTTAACTCTCTGCTCACACCCACTCCACCGTCTAGCTTCTTCAAACGGCAAGGAGAATGACGTCCAGTAATAGCAGCCATCCCATAATGTGTTGGATCATGTATCTTCAAAGTAGATCCAATTGAAATATTACTTGGGCAAACAGTTGGTTGGTCCTGACAAAGCATCTCCTTCCCTATGTATTTATTTTGATCATTATTCAAACGCCTAAATACATTCTTACTCTTTTCAACTTGGTGTAAATTAGATTTATTAAGTATTCCCTTGGTGCTGTTGGATTCCAAGTCATTAGTAGCTAAGTCTTGCTTGGCATCATCGTCCTTGTCTTGAAAACAGAGATGCTGCTGTGTCCTCTTGTAGTCTTGGCTGGCAGAATTTTCTGTCTCTTTGTTTTCTTTGCCACACGGCTTAATTTTCCTCACGTCTCTGGATCTGTAGAATCTGTAGGCCCAAGAAACCAGCAGCACTGCAGCAGCAGAGAAACTGAGTTTCACCAGCAGCTGCATGTCGAACTGGACTCCAAGAAGGTCTGCGATAGGCATAGCTGAAAAAAATAAGACAGCAAATGTTGGTTGAATGAACCTTTCAGCTATTGTCTAAATGCCTCTGCTGCATAAAGCTGTCTGGTTTCCATTGTAAAAGAGCTGCTGTGATCCAATGACTACGCCTCTTTGCCCAAAGGATCAAGTGTAAAATGATAGCTTTAGAGTACCTATTTGCATCCCTTGCACAGGAGAGGCGGGGCACTTTCATACACCACCTGTGGCGAGTCAGATGCAGTTTCTTTTACTATCTGCAGACTATCCAAATACCAATGGGACAATATTTGGTTTGCTGACTCACTCTTGATTTTCTTTAAACCATTTAAATACCATCTACATATTCAGATCAATGTTACCTTTAAAAAATCGTTTTTTGTGTGTCCATGCTGCTGCAAATCAAACATGTCAATGAGAGGACTGGCTTATAATTTGCTGAAAAAAATGATCCAATCTCATCAATGTTACCCATGATCATGATCTCTAACTTCCTACTTTGTTTTGAGCTGAAGTAGCAAAGTCTAGTTTGAATAAGGGGTGGAGAGGTATGAGCGGTAGCATCTAGCAAATGGTTAATAACCAGGATACATACATCTGTTTGCATAGCTCTGACAAAGAGCAAAGGTTCTTCCTTGTGCCTGCAAAGTCTCCAAAATTACTATTTCTGGAAATAAGCCAAAAGAAAGAAGGGTAGGGAACAAAAAACATAAATGGCAATACAAAAACAGAGCTGTCAGGTGGCCATGAGATTCTCCATTGTGAAAACTGACAGTGAAATTTATTTCCACTGGATGCAAACACATATTTCTGTCATACCTGAAACATGCTACTCACCACTGTGAGGCTGTCATTATTGTTGCTGATAACATACCTAGAGAAAGCCTACAATCAGGAACAAAACAGTTTTTTATTTCACCAGCCCTTTGTGAAGCATTATAAAGATACGTTACGCTGGACTCTTTCAGCGGATGTGTCAGGTGTCCTGTCAGCTGCAAGGGTGCTGTGGTCATCTGATAGTCAAGCCTGATGACAAAAAAGAAACTGGATTCTGCAAGCATGGCTGACTTCTGAATAATTCACAAATAGGTCATGAAGGCAGCTTCTTATCCTCACTATTACTCCCAGTAGAAAAACAAGAATGTGACTGAAATCTAAAGGCTTTATATGTTTAGACACTTGCACTTCTTATTTTTACCATCTGTTATGATTGATCAGTTTATGACAACATGAGGGATGAAAGCACAAGATGTATTTTAATTGGTGCTCCCAGATTTTTTCTGCAGTTTTTACACAAGTCCGCATAACTTGGAAGCTGTACCCTGGCCTAGTTAGCAGTTAAACTGAGTGTTGTTTTGCCATGGCTTTTCTGACAAACCAGTTTGAGAAAAACAAATAATGACAAAACCCTGCAGCTACAAGTTTACACACAGTTTCCATCTGTCCCTGACTACACCAGTAAACACTGGCGAGGTGATTAAATAGAGCATTCTTCTATCCTTTTGGCAAAAAAGATAATAAAGTCATATATTTAAAAATGTCTGCTCAGTTTAGGTTTATCTACGGTAGATATAACAGAAATTTAAAACATAATAAACAAATTATTAACCACATTAATCATTTTAAAAGAATGATTTTAAAATGATTCAACATGAACACGTAAGATCAAGATGATCTGCAAATTCTAATGCATTTAGAAATTGAGCTGCTTGTCCTTCTTCGACATAAAGCGAGTCAGAAATGCAAAGAAAAATGCAGAAAATTGCATCCTGAAAATTATTACAAACCAATAATAGTTTACACTGGATGGCCAAGGATCCACTGTGGACTTCACAATAAACAAGAAAACTAATCAAAGCTCTAAAGGGGCAGCATTTTGTATTTTCCACATTTTATTGCATTAACCAAAATTACCTGCAGTATTTCTAAAAAAAAAAAAAAGCTATTCATATGAAAAGTAACGTCAAAGAAATTTGACGTCTTGATATTTGGCCTCTGAAGCCCCTGATCTTTCTGACACTCCACCTTGAGCAAGTCTTCACAATTCTCCTCCACTGCGCCACTTGGAACTGTCCTTAAGAGACAGTGAAGAAAAGTTGGACTGAGAAGTTGTTTGCAGATTCACCACCAGGTGTTTGCTAATTGCTGCTGTTAGTCTGGTGGAACTCTGTGGGGAAGGGTGATCTCTGAGGCCGAAGTTTGGCTGGAGATTTCAGATCCACAAAGGAGTAGAAATAGGCGGTGCTTTCTATGAGCAAGCATCCCTGAATGACCAACACAGGAGATTCAAAGATTCATAAATATGCATGACATCATTAAGGTTTCAATGGGGGAATCACATCAATTTCATATAATACCCCCAATTTAAAACTGCCCTGTTACGTGTGCTACATAGCCGTAAACTCCAGAAATCAGCAGTATGAAACTTTTAAAATATGAAAAACAAAAAGACCTGTCTCATTAAGCAATTAGTCAACCATGAACTGCAAAGCATAAAAAAACATGAGAATTTCATTTAATATAATAAGATCACTTCTAAAAATAAGGAAAGTTATTTTTATAGATTTTTTTTTCTATGAAAGCAAAAATTAAAACAATGCATTTGCATGGTCTAATTATTAACATCAGGACGTCAGCAATTTCTGTAACCTTTCAAGTATAGAATACAATATGTGCACATCAGAAAAATGTCAAACTCTTGCTCAATTGTAAGTAAAGTCAAGGCTTGTGAGTTTTATCATCTCTCCATTTTAATACAGGTGAAATGAAACAAATGCAACAACTCTGTTTACACAAGCTGCCTCTTGTGAGCTCCTCCCTGGAATGGCGGCTAAAATGATCCTACTTGTACTGGTAATGTCTGGGGAAGAGTTACGCATTTTACACAATGTAGGTCACAAGTAAATAGCTGGGTTACAGGCTAGTGACAAAGAGCTGTGGTGCTGTCAGTAGCAACACATGAAAAGGAGAAAGAATCTTCAAAAGTCACATGCACCACAACCCCAAAACAGCAGACAAATGTTTTTTTTTTGTTTTTTTTTTGTCTGTCCTTTGAAGAACAGCCAAATTCTTATAAAAAGCCTAAGTGACAAACAGAAATAATGTTCATTCCTTCCTCTCAATCAAGAATTATATCTGAAAGTTGAATGAAGTACAAACAAAGGTGGAGAAGCATAAACTCCAACAATCTCAGCACCCATTCCTCACCGTGACCCATATAACTTCTTTAATTATTTTTCAGTATTTACACTGTAGTACACAAAATACACTCAAAAAAGAGATTTCTCCAGTTTTCTCAATGCATTTAAATGTTCATGTACATTCCAAGCCATCAAAAGAAAAAGTATATATATATATATATATATATATATATATATATATATATATATATATATATATATATATATATATATATATATATATATAATGAAAGTTCCCTCGGAGCATCTGGAAGTCTGTACTTCCATCATGTTTCAGCTTGTTGCTAATCTGGTCCATTCCAGGACATCATGTAACAGATGGGAGTGGTTGATAGGATGGTGCAGTCAAAGCCAGTTCCATTTGTCCACATTTCACAAAACACCAATAATATTGTGACTCATGAAAATAAAATCCAAATACTTTTTTTCTTCTGTTTTAAATCATCAGATTTTTTTTTTATCAACAGGCAGACTTGGGACAAGGAACAAAAAAGTAATCGAATGGAACTATATAGGAGGTGGTAACTGTGAAGTTCACCACATTGTTCTTTTTATATTATCTTGAATATAATTTTGTTATAAAACAAAGTACCATCACGTGGTGGCACTGTTTCTTGTTTGACAGATGACAAGAGGGTCTGTTGATGACTGGAGAAGGCTTGCAGGATTGTGGAAGGTCTTTGAACTGTATGTATGTTTTTTTCTGTGTGCATATTCAGATGTGTTTTGTATGGGGAAAATGTGTGTCTATATTTGTGAGGGAGAGTGTCTCGAAGAAGCCGTTTCACGTCAGTCCCACTGTAACTGTGAGAACAAGTGCAAGCCACGTCAGTCCACGTTTTTCTGTGCGAGTGGCTTCATCTGCAAAAAAGGCAAAGAAAGAAAAAACAAAACAAAAATCAGACATTGATTTCCTCTTGATTTATAACAGCTCATGTTCATGACATTCAAATGCAACAAGATTAATTTTGTGTGGATGAAGCACCAACTGAAATTCCAGTCAAACTACAGATTAGGAGTGAATTCTGTGTCCCATGACCATTGATACGAAAGCTGCTTCTCAACCACAGAACAAAAGTTAAAGGCTTTATAAAGTTTATTATGGAAGCTGGTAAAATAATGTAATTTCATACATCCTAGAAGTCTGTAGTTTTTTTGTAGGAGTTTCCATAATTTTCCCCTTGACAATTTAGCTAAACTCTTAGAAGCTGTTCTTGAATTATTTTTGTCCTTAATATTATGATCTGCCACATTCCTCTTAATAATTATCAGAAGCCAGAGTAGCTCAGCACTTTATTAAGTGCATGTTCATTAATCGACTGCAGTGCAGTATGCAGCAGCAGCAAAGAGCAGCAAATTCAAGCCATTTTAAAAGTGATGTCTACACTTTTCATGTTGAAATGACAGCATATCATATCCTGATACTGCTGACACACTTACAGTATTTGCATTTCCTCTTTAAATTTTTCCCATCAACACTTTTCAGCTCTGTTGTTTAATGATATAAACCTGTTTTAGAGAAAAAATTATTTTAGAGCTTAGAAAACAAAGTAATTTTAATCAGAGCTTCAGGTATAAGGTGAAGACTAAAAACAACTTTAGGAGTAGACAAATATGCTTTGGCTTGTGACCTCGTAAGTTAGTACAAAACAGTTTGTGGATAAATAAAAAAGCTAAATATTGAAAAGAAAATGAACCAATCACACATTCACACACAAACAGCTTTAGCTTTTCAGGATGCTAAAATCCCCCTACCTGCAATGTCATTTAAAATGTGGGTCTGGCATAAAATTGTCAAAAATGTAATATCACTAAACATAATTTTGATTTTCATCACAAAAGTCTGAAACCTACTGTAGAAGACAAAGTTCACAGAAAACCCAAGAAGTATTGGTGAGAGAGAGACTTTCCTGCCTGTGACACACTGAGGACCGTAAGATCGAGATCTTTTCTTCCGTTAGGTCATGTGAAGCCCCAAAGGTTTGTGGGTTTGAAGAAAAAGCAAAAGTGGAAGGTTAACAGTCTAACAGGACCTCCAATTTTGGAATAGTTTAGCAACTAAAAAAGCAATCACAAACTGAAAATGTTTATATGTATGAGATCCAGTAATATATTGGCAAATATTAAATGTCAACACTTTTACAAGACACTATTGTAAATTTTGCCCCTCTTTTCTCTGCCAAGCAACATCTGTGATAAATCTAATTGGATATGATGGTGGAGGCTCCTTTTTTCAAGTGTCCAAACTGTTTAAAATTGACCCAGGCACAATAATGATTATCTTATCAGGCAAATCAATAAAGCCATCAGTCTCCATCCATGTAAGTGGAGAACACTAGCGCTGTATTTTAACAATGTTTTTTGTGAAAACATATAAGGACAATATAACTGCAATTTTAAGAGACATTAACCAGAAATGCTTATATCCTGGGGACAAAAGATATGTTTACAATCTCAGACAAAACAGATGGTTCATTTGGCAACAGTCTTCTAATGATATGGGATTTAACACTTAATATGTCTACAAAAAACACTCTTCATTCGTGATTGATTATACTGAAACACGTAAAGTCTGTTTATATTTAAAAAAATGTAGCAAATAAGTAATAATAATAATAGTCTAGCATGAAAATTACCCAATAAAATCTTAATGAGGTCAAATTGCATTAATGTGGATCACTTATTCTTTACTGTAGACCAAAGATCAAATTGCATAGAATGACATTATATGATATAATGATATCCATAATACAGAAAAATTAGAACTATTTTACTTGTTGTGTAGAAAGACTGTTTTTGTACACAATTCTGCTCCATAAAACATAGAGACAACAGTTAAACTGCTATGATTAAATTTTATTTTATGTACCTTGTGAGGAGTACATCTGGAGAATAAAACTGATGAATAATTTTGATTGCATCCATTTACAAAATTTATGATTTTCATTCTCTGTAAGAGACAGCAATACAACCACTTCTGAGCACAAATAATTTTTATATAGAAAATGTCTTCTCAAGTGTCTATTGCTTCATGTAATAGTTGTAGCAGCATCAAACTAAATGTTTTTGCAATTTACTGCACATCACAACTTGCTATGTGGAATGGATGATATTTTTACTCAGATTTCATTTTGTTTTGTTGATTTATATCTGTCTGATTGGTAAAGACCTTTCTCATTTCCAAAAGAATATTCTGCTTTGAAATTAAAGTTACTGCAGGAGAAAGACTGTTGCTGACTGCAGGTGTGTCTTTGTTGACATAAAGTGTTTATTCAGATTGCGAAAGTCTATGGCAAAAGAACATTCACATGCACAAGGAGGAGCTGGTGACTTAAGGGTGTGGCTGCACTTCATATGATCTGGTGCCTGATAGAGCTGTTAGTGAAAACGGATTAGTATGTCTGAGCAATGTGTTAAAATATTTTTTCTTTTATTTTAGACATAAAAAAGTTGGATTGTCTATGTAATTATGATTGAAGCTAAAGAAAAAAAAAATCAAAGTTCCAGGATCAGAGTGCACTCTTTTTTTATTCAAGTCATGAAACATTCAACAACAACTGGATCGCTGTAACGAGAACACTCTCATTAGGTAATGGGCTCATTCAAGCATGGGATCATCATCTGAGGTGCCCTTCCAGACTACAGTCATGGGGGGAAGTTACCCAGCCATTTGTTTTTCCTCATATTTTTGGCTCAGATCTTTCAGCATTTCTGCCAAATTGATTTTTCTCAGACCAGTGGGACGGATGTCTGCAGGAAGATGTTGAGCGATTGCTTTATGTGCATGACCTAAAATGCTAAAAGCAATATTTTCCTTTCTCTATGCTAAATAAAAACAATCCAGAGGAAGCTTATTATTTCTAACAGTGGCAAGGACTTGTACACTGGTAACCCCAGCACTCTGTTTTCTATTCCTAAAGTGTTCCAAAACGGGATATGAATTTGAATTTTGCATACCACTGCTCTAAATGCAGATCACATGATGACAGCCTCCTGCTTGCAATGTGGCTTCTTTTTTGACTGAGTAAAAGCAAAGTTTCTCTCCTGAGAGTTTGTTAAAAAATTAGTTTTTTTTTACATGTACACATCTGTCTGAGGCCTGACAACATTTGGCACTCCAGCTAGACAGAGCTGATACAGCAATATTTGACAAAGAAAAGGTCTTCAGTTTCCCTCATCTGATAAGTGCAGTTCATTGCCAAATAACGCAGTGTGATAAGCTACATCACAGGGAGAAATACTGACAAAGATTAACAAACGCAGCCCGCAATACAAATAGCTGGTAAATGGTTGATGTAACCTTCACCAACTCATTGTTGGTGGTTCTTCCCATCAACCTGACAAGGATTTGGATATTCAGCTTTAATGCTCAGGCTTGTGTACTGTAACCTCTTGGCGTCATGTTGTACATCAATTTGACTTGGATGCAAGACACTTGTGTATGCCCATTCTGACCTAATTCTGTCCTTGCTCTGACACACCTGTTCCTGTGGTTTCCATGGCATTTGCATTCTCAAATTTGCATGTCACAGATATGGCTTGCAGAGAACAAACACAATGAAAATTAACTTGGAGCAACAGAGTTGGTGTGGGAAGCTCAAGAAAATAAACAAGGTGATGTTTCTGAAATTAAAGAACGAGGTCGAGTACAAAGCCCTTATTTTAATAAACTGTTTCTTGACTATTGCAGATCAGCCTAGACAATCCTGAATGCTTTTTCTGCTGCAGACTGAGACAAAGTTGGGCATTACATGCATGCACTGTAGCTTATACTGAAATAATTATGGCATAAAATTAATTTTTCAGTCCATTAGCAGCTTATTATATAAAAACAGAAGAAATAAAACAAAACCAAAATTGCTAAATATTTTATTAATATTTTGTTGCTTGTAAATTGACAGAAGTTATGAATTCTGCTTAACACATTCTAAGAAAAAAAAAAACCCAAAAAATTAACATTAATTAGCTACTATATTTTCATGTGGATTCATAAAATGCATGTCCATGACCTTCTTTGTATTACTAGGCTTCTCATAATTGTAATGAAGAATTGATTCATGAACAGAAGATAAGGTGCTTGTATGCTGCTGGATATTAAGTCATGAAACCAAAGTTCAACAATTCTATTATAAAACAAAAATCACATCCTTGTTTTATATTTGCTCATGATTTTACAAACTTTTATAATAGCTGTTTAATTAGGTTGAAAATTATAAATATGCTTGCTAAAATGCTTGCAGTATATTCAAAAATTTTTTTTTGTCCTAGACCGACATGAGATATAACAGAAGTCTGTAATTACATGCAAATGAAAACTTTCCATATTTTACCATATTTCCATAAATCCAAGGTTAGAGTAGTGTAAATCAATCTAATAGTATTTTTAAAAAACAATATCACATTGATACAGTTGGTTCACTTAAATTTGCCAAATTGTCTTGTTACTGACACTACAGGCAAATTGCTGTTCCCCTCTAAAAGGAATTAAAATTTAGATATTCATACAGGCTGCAGTGGCTTGCTTACTAGTCTGATAAAATTTGACAAGACTGTCTTTTTGGGCAAGATTAGCTCCTTGCAGTGAAACTGAGTGTGACCTGCTAGCCACAGAGTCGACTTGTAAAATGGATCCATTGTGATTCATTTCAACGTTTCACATTTGACATGATGAAAAAAACAATCAAAACTCATTTCAGTCTCTATTTAGCTTTGCAACACTTTTTGAAAATTTGCATGTCTACCTGGATATCCTACTTTCATAGTAGCTGAGGGAGCCCAGAGTCTATAGCTGCCTAACAAGTGTCGACTGCACAGTTATTTCACAAATAAATGAATGTAGATTACATGCTTTCTGACTGAAGACAAAAAGCTAGCCTTGAGTGGGTTTTACAGTGTAGCTGAGATGTGGGTGGAAATGAGCTTTACTAATCTAGATGAGCCATTAAAGAGTCTTTTGTTAAAGTTCACTCAGTTTTTCTTACTACTGTATCACAGTTCTGATTGCTATCTCTATAGGGTCGCACTCTAATTTCCGTCTTGGTGAGTTGTGAACCACTTCATGCTTCAGAGGCCCATCTGTTAAGGCTCAAAACTCTGGTTACTTGGCCAAAAACTGAATGTTTTTCCACACTAAAGCATGATCTACACTCCTCTTAAGGTCTGAGTGAGTGAAAATCTGCATCAAATCAGAGACTGGGCTAAGAGGAGAAGCAGAAAAAAACACTGATGCAGGGGAATAAAGAATAAGAGAAAAAAAGTGAGATGTCGGCAATAGGGAATGCATCAAAAATGGTTAAAGCAGCAAAATATATCGTATAATGAAACTGGGAGAACAAAAGTGAGCACATTTAGAGTGGAAAAGGAAAGACAGAAAGATTGCAGTGTGAGGCGGAGAGGGAAAGACAGCAAAATTAGAGGGATGGAGAGGCTGTTGTCACATCGCTGTGGCTTCTCCTCAGAATCCTTCACTTTACATATGATAATCTTAGAAGCCAGAAACGAGCCCCCCGCTGCACAAATGAAACACAGATAATCTTGCACTTTTTCAACAGTGATGTGTATGGCTAGCCACTGAAGTGGTATTTTAGCCACTTGTGAATACCATCATAGCTTAATTCTATCTGGACTGCTCACAAAGACTTTACACATGGCAAATCATTCCATACTTATGCTATGCTGTACCCCATACATTAACACCACATACTCAAGTTTGTTGAGCTGAAATACTTACTGTTCGGATTCTGCGTGTTTTTCATCATGCTCGGATTTTCTGTTGAAAACAAAAATGAGACAGTGAAATGCTGTAGTTGCTATAGAGATGATGAGTACTTTAGTGAAAAGAAGAATAAAATTATTAAAAAAAATATGGAACTAAGAAAGAAAGAAGGAAAAAAAAACATTCTCTGGTAAAGCTTGCATTTCTCTAATGGAGCTGAATTCCAAAGTTATCGAAGTGCACACTAAATGGCACATCCCTGATAAGAAAGGCCAAAGCTAGTTAATGGACCTGGGAACACAAAGCACTGCAACAGAACAACCAAAACACTTTTTAAGAAGCAGTAAGAGCAGAGAACAGCAGCTACGGGCCAGCAGGTATGGGTAAGAGATTTGGAGCCTCTACATTTAATAGACCGCATCAACGTCTAACCTGCACAAAACACTCTGACAATGTATTCTCAATGTTCTCACAGGGATAAAGTAATTGCAAGGGAGGCAGCAGGAGGGTTTGCAGAGTGTTAGTAACCACTCTTTAATTCCCTTCTGTGAGTTATTTTTGGATGTTTAACTTTGCACATAAGTAGATGGAAGGTGCATGTAAAGCACAACGTGAAACTACTCTGGTCTCACTGGAGCCACACAAACACAAAATTAATGTGTCCACTCTCAGTGTGCACCCGTGTGCTTACCACACCCAGCAAATTTGCTTAAGTATACATATCTGTGAGGGCTTCTTCATCTAAGTACAGTTTATATCTTTTGTTTGCTGTTGCCAGACTATATTTGTCTGACTCATCTTACTGTTATGCAAGATCATATTACCACTCTGAGCGGTGAAAGATTTAATATGTTAATTCAGCTTGCAGGTAGGGAGCCAATAATCAAGCTGTCAATGTATACATTTTTTATTTTTGATTGCATATTTTGAAGACCTGGCGAAGAAAACAAATGACCAAAACATCTCTTCAACCCTATGGGGAAGAGGAATGTCTCATTGTAAGACCTCAGGGATTGTGCCAAGGTCACTTAATCACCATTTACTTCCCCTAAGCGTGAGTGGAAGCAATCTACAAGGAGAAGACAGACAGATGGGCCATACTATGCATCATGGTGTTAAATAGACTTTAGTGCTCTTCCTAGCAAAATGCCTCCAGCTCTTTACCTTTTAAAGTGTGTGCTTGTTAGACTTTCTCAGTAATTTCCAAATTTGCAAGATACTTCAAATTTTGTTCAAATAAGTGTTTTACAAAGATACTCCAAAAGAATGAAAATGAATACACTCTGTTATCCAATAAGTATTGAAACACTGAAAAGTTAATTTATTTCAGTAATTTAATTAAAAAAGCGAAACTTATATATCAGGTAGATTTGACATAGAACAATAATGTATCACATGTTTTAATGATTATGAGTAAGACTGAATGAAAGCCCTGAAAAAAAAATGTAATATTAAATAAAACCTATTTTAATTGTGAAATGATGACTTGTTAAGAAGTATCTCTATCTACTGTGGGACTACATCTGAATTAGTTATTACTTCATTGCAGAGTCTCATAGCTGTGTCACAGATCAGTCTGTGACTCCGCTGAGGTGTTTTTAGGGAGCCCACACTGAATGTTCAGCAGCTTGGGATCTGTCCCTCCCAACCTCTTGAGATGATTTCCAAATGAAATGCAATATTTACTTTCAACTGAAAATATTACTTTTGACCAAAGAGCAACGTTTCACTCTTTTCTCCTCTTCCTTTTTTTGTCCATGTCAGCCACTTCCAAAATTGTTTAGGAGTGACTTAAGATTTACGACAGTGGTGGCCCTTGTTCTGAAAATGTAGTAGCTGCTGAAGCACAGACTCAGTAGTTCCTACCTTGTCAATCTGACCCAACCTCTTGATCATGCCTTGCTTTGTAATCCTCTCCAGGCTGTTGCTACCCATTGCTCATGCACCATTTACTGCTTGGACACAGCAGGTTGTGCCTGTTTCTTTAGCAATAACGTTTTTGTGATGTTCTCTCTACATGGAGGATTTCAATGACTTTAAGTGGGACAACTATCACCAGTCAACATTATTTCTCATAATTGTGTGTGATAACATGGTAATGACAGCTATTTTATAATAAATCTGTTTTTATCTGTCTTATGAGATACTGCCCATAAAACTAAAGATATTTTTTGTCTTCTTTTGCAATATGTAAGCCACCATCATAAAAATTCTCAAATATTAGCATCTGACATTTGTAATTCTGAATCCATACATTTAATGAGATACATTTTTATTACATATTTTCATTGAGTATAACAAAACAAACTGTAAAATAAATATTTACCTAGTTGATATGTAAACCTTGATAGCTTTATTCATTTGAGCTTTCAAAGCCCTCTGTCATGCGACAGCTTGGGATGGCTCTATTCAAAGTGACAGTGTTGTAACTGAACTGCAGTTGCATCAGAAATGCAAGAGCAGCTGATACCGTGGGAGTGTTGAAGGGTATACAGTAATAGCACAAGGAGAAAATGCTAAGCTTTATTATTAAACTGATGATGGACTTTAAAATGTTTTGTCTATGAAGCCAATGTGAAGATGGAAGGTCCTTCACATTCAAAATAGCTAAAGAAAAAGATATTTTAAAAATTGCTGGCTAATGCAAACTGTCCTCTCCCTTTACACTTACAGCTCTGATTTTTATATCACAGTGCAGCAATTTAAATCAACCACAATCAAGGTGATTGTGACTAATTGTGTGACTTTTAAGGAGAAGTGTGTCATGTTTCAACATAACACCAATGTGTCAGAGTAACACTGGTGTGACATCAACTAATAGCAGAACATATCTGATTGAAATTCTGTGTGGGAAAGGGCACAAAATAGCAAAGCCTGCTCTCCAAGAGTATCCAGAGCAAACATTACCCAAGAAGAAAGAACTCCCATGTTAGCACAGGTATCTCAAATACATCTAAATTAAGATCAATACACAAACTTAGCCTTGGCGTTGAAGAAAGGGTTTTTGTACCACTATTAGTAACAAATGTTCTTTGAATTTGGTCACAAGCAGGTTGTTTTTTAAGATTGGAGAAAGTAAAGATCTAGGTATGTCATTAGTGACAGAAAATACTTTGGAGAATAGCTATTTTAACTAAGTGTTCTCTAGAACATGTCTGTATGTTTGATCCAATTTAAAAGACAATCTCTTATTAATCACACACTTAGTCGCATCAATGATTTATATTTTAATGTGGTCACATGGGTCTCTAATTAAGTATTTATCAAAACTACTGTACATGATGCAAAAATGAAATAGGAAAATTATAAACTTATGTTTAATTTAACTGTGTAATTGTACATCATTCCACATCATTCTTGTGGATGCAAAGCAAATAAATGTTTATACTTTATTATATTAAATAGCTAAAAAAAATGGAATGGAATTACAATTATAATTTAAGCGCTAGTGTAGCAAATCCTTCAAACTACGGCTGAATTATGTTGCAGACATAAATTTACTTGCCAAAAACTATGAGACGAGTGTGTGTGTCTGTAGAACCCAAAGGATTCTGGGCTGTGCAGCGATACATAGAGCCGTTGAGCTCTGCCGGCACTCTCTCCAGAATCAGCTCTCTCCCCTCGCGCTCGGCACTGCCATCCAGTAGGCGACCTCCCACCCGTGTCCAGGTGAAGAGTGGCTCAGGAAATACTTCATTCTATCAACACCCATTGGGGAATCGAGACAGAAAAGAGAGGAAAAGAGAAGAAAGAAGACAAGGAAAGTTTAAGGCAGCTCAGACAGAGACTGTAGGTCTCATCCAAGGGATTAAAGGCAAAGCGCACATGAATTATACAGGTTCCAATTTTCCCCTAATGCCATGACAAGTTAACAACACGTATTAATAACCAACACTTAACTTTACAACAGTTTTTTGTAGATCCTCTTTGTGCTGCAGTTGACCATTTGACAAATTTAGCCGGAGCATTTTTTTTTTTACTTGAGCCTTACTGCAGAGATACTTAAACCCACAATCAGTGTATTTACCTTTCTGTCACAATACAACCGCACAGCATATATTTACATAAAGTATGTGTAGATTCTGTGTTGGTGTGCTCATCATTAGCATGCAACAAAAGTTCAAACTGTAACAAAGTGAAATACGTATATGTTATATATCACATATCAAATCTGCACATGTCTACAAAGAAACTTAATTCATCCATATTAGCAGGTCGCAATCTACTTTGCAATGCTGTGACTTCCTGTTTGAATTTTGAGTTAATGTTAACGTTGTCACAACCTGCTGGCCTGTTCCAGGGATTACAGAATTTCAGATATGAAGTTAATCATTTAATTTATTTTCAAAAAATGAAGAAAAATAGCTTACAAGGTACATCACCAAGAAGCTGGTAAGGAAGACTTTTGTCTTATCTGAAAGGCAGAAGCCAAACTTATCAGTCTTGGCACGTAGCTCTATCTACTTGTGAAATTCTAAAACCCACATCCAGTGAAGGATAAGGGAAATTTTCTTCTTGATCAGTCTGCATCCGTTAATGCCAGGCTGCTGAAGGTCCTGACTGGCTTCGTTTCATGGCCGAGCCTGTTTGTTATAACCAATCTTAACTCTGCTCAAAGAGATGCTTTAAAAGAATCCCAAGGTCACTGAGCAAACACAAACACATGTATAAACATGTGCAGCCAATAGCTCAGTGCTCTAAACCAACAACAATATAGAATATTAATTTGTTCTCATAAAAAAAGGAATATAAATCAAACATGATATCTGACTTGTGATTACTGAGCAGTGTCTGGGAAGTCACAAAGGAGATTTGTGCTGTGGGTCATCGGTGTGTTCTATTTAAGGATTAGTCCTATTTTCTTCACCTGACTGGGTTTGGGTGACTGATTTTGGTGTGACATTGCTGTCAAACAGACCATCACTATCCCCAGGCAAGACTCACCAGGGGCATAGCTCTATTTAGCAGGCTATGATAGAGGGACAAAGTCAATTTAGGATTATGCAGCAGTAACAAACATATCATGGAGACTTGCCTTGGTGTTTAGTTTGTGATTCTTAAACACATTAAACAGGTAGTAGTAACTCATATAAGGTGGTATTCCTCTTTAGATTAGGTTTATTACATAAGGTAGAGGGCAAATCACAAAACACAGTCAATCAAATAATTTAATGACATATAATGACAAAAACAAAATGAGGTTCACAATTTCATCATCACCATCTTCTTTTTTTATTCACGCATAATGAGGATTAGAGCTGGGTATTGTTAAGATCATCACAACTCAATTAAATGTTGGTAATTTGGGTAAAAGTTCAATTTGATGTTAATTTGATTTAATCCTGATTCAAATACTTAAATTTTGAATTAATAACACACACCATGTATTTTATTGGCGTCCCTCTTATTTTTTTTTCTCCTGCTCATAAGAACAGCGATGGTGGTACACATTACAATAACAGTATGTACATTAACATTATAGAGCAGCAACACATCTGAAAATAAAACAGTACATAAAGTACAATGGCAGTGTATGTGAATATATTCTTCGTGAAAAGTGATATAATTGAAATAATTCTTTCAATCATTATTTTAAGCGTATTTGAACAATATTGCCATTCTGACCCAAACTCCTCACCAACTGGTCGAGGCAATGCCAACCAAACCAATAATAAACTCCAAAAGATGATAAAAACTTCACATCAGTTTTTTATTTGCAACACCAAGCCTCATTGGTGTAGCGAGCTGCACCAATGAGGCTGTCGCAAGGACATGCAGCATCACCATTCTCTGCGCTGCACTGACCGGTGTGCAACGGGTCGCAAAAAATGGCACTCAGTTTTCAACTAGCTCCTCAAATTTGCAACTATTCAGTGCTCTTCTTTTGGCATTTGCTTGGCTGGATAAGGGTGTTGCCCCATAGCACATGTTCCAAAGAGAATGAATAGGGAGGGAGCGACGTCCCCTCTAGTGTATCAAGCCTATTAGACTATTAAAACAGAAGAGAATAATTGAAACCCTTTATTTCATTCAACTCCTTCAGACTGCTTGTCATTTATTACACGTCTCACTGTCGGAGGGGCTCAGAAAGATTTAAGGCCCTTCTGTTTGGCTTCAGAGATGATGCAAACAGTTTGATATAAATACAATGTTTGTCTTCATAATCAAAAATACTGAAAGGATAAAATTAAAATTTGAAACCCAATTTTGTAAAAGTGAATATTTTATGAGCATACATAAACATCAGAATGAAAAACCATTCTATGCTCAGCTTTTTGACTCCCAAATCTGAAATCTAAATAGACTTTTCTGTGAATGTGCAAAATAATTGCCTAGAGTAAATCCGTCCATTTCTGTAAAACCCCAGGAAACATACCTGGAATCCTTGTACAGAGATGCGCACTGTATCCCCAACCTTTGCCCTAGTGGGGGTCATGAAGAGTTTAGGACCCTTTGGAGAAGCTGAAAGGAAAAAGGACACACACAAGACAGAGGTTATTGTACTGAGCATGGAGAACAAATCCTGCTGGACACCTGTTTTGACGTCGAGGGAGAGCGACAAATACAATTTCCTGTCAATTAAGGTCACAGAGCGAGAGGCCAGGGACCTGCAGGTTCTTTCATCCAAAAGACTATGCTGGATTTATTCCCTTTTGGAGAGAAAGGGAACTAAATTGGGTAGATAGTCATTACTGGAAAAGAATGAGAGTGCAACGGGTGGAGTATGGAGGCAGCGAGATAAGAGGCACTCAGAGAGTTAATTCCCTTGTCTTCGTGTGGACAGTGGACCGCGCAAGGCTTTCATTGCCACCTCCTAAAACAATAGGGTGCAGCAGAAAAAGGAACAAACAAATTCTAGTACTATAATAATAATTATGTGGGGATTTATTGCTTATGCAAAAGGCTGTTGGCTGTATAATTTCCATTACTATAAAAAATAGAATTTGACTTTACAGCCTCTAAATTGTATTCTATATGGCATCGAGCTATAAATACATACTGTATGATTTATAATGATTAAGTAACCCACTAAAGATACCTACATCACATGCACTCTGCTTCCAGTACGTTAAATCAGTGAACCAAGGGACACATGCAACAAGAACCAAACTAAGGACATCCAATCAGTAACACCCGGAGGCCTACATGTGGAGTCTGCAGTCAAACTGTCAAAATACAAAAAAACTAAATGTTATTAGTTTTTTCATATCTATTGAAATAAATACATATGAGTAAAAAAACTACAACACATTTACATGTTTGATTTATGTACAAAAATTAGCAAAAAAAGAGAGAAAACAATATGGCAATTCAATCACAGACATCATGTGCTTACTGTGACTTAGCTTATTATTCCATCTCTTGCCAAAGATGAATGGGATTTTTTCACAAGCTAAAATTGCCATGGCGGTGGGAAGCACTATCTTTCCTCCTCCTACACACTAACAGAAAGGTATTTTTAAATACTGGTGTCATGCAGTCACAGAGCTTGCAAGGCATATGGCCGGTAGATGATGGCCAATTTCTGGGATTTGCTCCAGCAGTGACAGTTGGTATTCTACGTCACTGCCTTTGATTACGGCAGCTTGAGTAAGATGGACAGAATCTCTCTTGGGTGAGGACACCACAAGGGAAATGAGCCACAGTCCACCACCTCCTAAGGCTCAAATTCTTCCCCTTACAAACGAGAACTGTTTTCACTTCAGGAGAGGTCGAAGAACAAACATGCCTCCCGGAAAAACAACTGTGCACCCTGTATCAGGTGTGCTGTGGCGCCGAGGCAGAACATCAACAGGTCCGCCCAGCTGTACAACAGACTTAGGGAAACCTGTCATGTTAGCTGGGTGACTGGATCTGTTGAGAAAGAGGAGTCAAGGAGGTAGGCAAAGAAATTTAAAAGGCCACGCCAACTGTTGGATAACTCATTACATCAAGCTCTACGTTATTTCAGTGGCAGACTCAACAAATGTACCATTCTTAAAATCCCAGTGCAGGAATATAAAGTATACTGGTGAACATAAAGATATGATAACTGGTATGACAACCTAAATTTAAATCTTCAAAGTGAACTCAGCAAACATTTAAATTCAGCAGATAAGTGCACTATCTTTCATGCACAAACACACACACATGCACACGCACGCAGACAAAGACTGAACATCTGCTGTTTGACTTTCTGGCAAAGCTTAGACTGAGGTGTGAAGGTGGCTGATCTCCTTTTGCCACTGCTCACTGTAGGAAAACTCGATTCATTCGCATCTCTGTTGATAATGAATAATAAACACCCTCACGCTCTTCAATCCAAAACATATATATATATATATATTTTTTATTAGTATTATATTATCAAGCTTCAATGTTCACAAATTTTTTACAGATAGCCAAAACACACCACCTGCTCTAGTAACATTTGCATGCAGGGCACAGAGTGGTTCATGAATATGCATGAAACATGACATAACATTGGTCAAGTGTCAGGCTGTCACTCAGTCTCCTAAGGCGATATTAAATCTCTGAAAGAGTTATTACTTATGAGCTCTGCGAAGATCTCACATTCATTTCCTGACCGCACTTACACACACCTGAGGGAAACAACAGGGTGTGTGTTTCAGTCAATTATCTTTTTAGAGCACTGAGATACAAATTAATGGAATATGGTAGCAAAACTAATCCTAATACGACTCATTCCACATACAGTTATAATGATTCTTACCAAATATTGAAATTACTCAAAAATTATCCAGTTTGTCTTTAATCAAGATCATCTTCACAATGAACATGATTAACAATATTCCTGCCTCTGAAAAAGGAAAGAAAACAACTTAGTTTCAAGATGGAACAAGTCCAAAGCAGGTTGGCTAACAATTTGAATTTTAAGTGAGCTCTAATTAGAATCAACAAATGCACCTTTTTGTGTTTTCTCCTCTTTAGATGTTAGGATTAAAAAGGAATGCCAAGTGATTCTGCTTCCAGCTCTTCGAAAGATCAAAGGTAGTAACACATTAATTATTACAGTTGGAAAAGAAGCTTTTCAAAATATTAGCACCTTTGACATTGGGCAATAATTTCACAAAACTCATTCATTGTGCCATCCGTTTCTGTCAGTATCTTATGAAAAAGGCAGAAAGCAGTTATAATCTACACTGCCATATTTCTTATTGAGTTGACAGCTGATTTCATTGTACCTTCAAATAATGCAGTTATCTCTCTCTTGCATGGGCAACAGAACACTGCTATTACTTTGATATATGCAGACAGTACATAGAAAGTTTTAGGACAATTTTTATGGAATGTGATATTTCAAATTAACGACTGCAATCTATTTATGAAATAGTTTCAACACTTTTCATTGTATTTCTGATGTTCTCAAAACAAGATGAGGGCAAAAAAATGTTAGCAACCAGCATGTTTATGCTAATAAGACACTGTTTCTACAATGACAAAAAAGTCTCCCCATTTTATTTTTGTTTACCTATTTAATGGAAATTTGTTTATATTTTAAACAAATTTTAGTAATAAAAGAATAGGCTTCTGCTTTAGGGAAAGGACAAAAAAAAGTTCCACCTAATCTGGTTCTCGTTATTATTTGATTTTAAGACAGCTCTTTTTCTGACATCAACTTTTTTGATTGCCACACTTAGATTTGTTTTCTTGTAATAGGCAACATTAATGTTTTTATGGGTGTCTGTGTCTTTATCCAAACTGCTCACTCAGCAACTGGTTGAGACAGATGGCATCCTCCCTTGTTGTCAGGGTAAAACAAAGAAAATTAGGAATAAATTGTTTTTATTAGTATTATATAAATATTAATTAATACCTGCAGTCACAGTTGTTGGCACTATTGCTGTTAATATAGCACAACCCTCTTTGCCAACAGGCTAGCACTTGGAATGGAAAGCAGTATCATTGAGGATTTATAAACTGCAAGGTAAATTACATTTAATTAGATCATATTAAAGTCACTTTTTAGAATACAGTTTTCACTAAACGGGATTATGATTTTTGTGACTCATCAATAAAAATGTTTCAGAAAAAATACAAGTCTTAAAATTAGTAGGGCTCCATGTGAAGTTTGTTATTTATGTATGGTTTTGTAAGAATGTTTTGGAAAAAATGTTTTCAAAACATGTATGACAAATGACTACAGCACTATTCCAACTAAGTATGTATTTTACCAATACACTTTAACAGTGATACAAAATTATAACCTCAAGGTGATGTTAAGAAAATACTCACACAATTTAAAGGCACAGCAGAAAACAACTTAGTAATTGAGACCTGGTAAACTGTATCTTATTTCTCATGTACAAAAGCAAGTTTCTGGCATAAAATCTAAAAACTTATCTTTGAAAAGAAATGAATACACAAAAATAGTCATGGTGGGTAATGACTGAAATTGGAACTTGACAATGTCTTGTAATCACAAGTAGATTTTGGCAATTCTTTGACTGTGACAAATAGCTACTTTTAGAACAGGATTGCCAATCGATTGCTCGGCTTTGTTTAGACTTTCCACTTCCTTTCTCGTCCTCTGTTCCCAACATGACTCTACTTTCAAGAGATTGAAGTAATTTTTGTACTTGCTTTGTGACTGTCCAACTGACTTTTAGGACAAAACATTGCCCAACCCTGTTTTGCTCCCCAAAAGTAATGTCTCTGCCCTGATACAAGGACATCCTTCTCAGCTTCCAATTAGTCAGTGTCACTAAAAAGCAGGAGCAGCATCAGTGAGCTGCACATGTGCAGGGTCGTATTTGTCTGGGAATAGAATTAGTTTACACTCAAATGTCAGATCAAGAAAAGAGGCTTCAGGCAAGAATAAGTAACCTACAGAGAAAACATGGTTGTGCATTGTATGTTTGTGTGACTTTTCCATAGTAGGGTTTCAGAATTTGCGATAGTCAACAGTGGATTTTTGTTACACTTTGTCATCAAATGAAAATCCATCTCTGCACGGATAAAGTTGTTGCTTTGGAGCTTTCTGCCTAATGAATTATTTTTAGAATCATGGTCTGTATAGAAAAGTAACTTTCCAGCAGTAACAGCAAGTATCACCAAACAGTTTTGGATTGTCTCAAGGAAAATAAGAAATGTTAAAATGTGCTGAGAAGCCCTGCACAACAAGTTTTACAAATCTGTGTTTAGTCTGCATGTAGGAGTTTCTGTAAGATCAAGAACTATATGCTCATAAAACTAATCATATAAAAAGACATCAACACTCTCAAAATGCTTCCAAAGTCATCATTAGTTAAGACTGCTAACGCCTAAGCCATAATTTTTAATTTCTCATCTCATTTGATAACAGAAATATTATTGAAAGAGATTATTTATAGTGTCAGGTAGATAGTGATGAATTGGAGCTCCTTTCAGTTTATTACTGTTGTAATTCATCATGGCATAGAAAGTTTTCTCAGAGATTTTGATTCATGTTGACCTGACAATTTTGAATCAGTTTGAATCTCCCATTCTATCATATCCCAAATATGCGCTGATGGATGAAAATCTGCAAACTGATAAAGCCACTTAAGTACAGTGAACTCAAAGCCAATGAATTTAAGATATGGTTCAATATCCCACTGAAGTCGCCTTAGGATGGTACAGTGTTGTCACAGAATGATGGACATAGTGAGTTACAATACTCAGGCTGGTTGTGCTCAATTACACAATGCTTAGTAATTACAAAGTGTCTCAAGCTGATTCAAACAAGGATGAATGCTGCAGTTGAGACTCATTGAACCAGACAACATATTTCAATATGATATTGTCCATTTTAGGTAAGACTGTACGAATTGAAGCTTAACTTTTCTGCTGACAGGTGTGGCATCTGCTGTGACCTTGTGTTTTGGTAGCTCATTTTCCTCCTCACTTATTGGGCATTCAGAGTTGGTATTGTGCATAATCAGTTGCGAAGAGTTGTTATTTGAGCTAGTGTTGCCTTTGTATTATCTCAAATCTTCACCTTTGCCTGTGACCTCTGACACTGACATGACAATTTTGTCCACACAAACCACACAAACTAAATTGGATCCGTGTGACTGTCTGATTCACTGTTTGGGGTTAGTGTCTGTTAGAAATCAAGTTCCAGCTCCAGATGCAGCTTATATGAGTATAGCTTGTACTCATATAAGCTGTACTTATATGCTAACAGATGCAAATAGCTTACAGCCAAAAACATAAATATGTGACACTGCCTACGGTATTAGACATTTTTCACAATGACTTGCTATATTTAACTACATCACATACAAAATATGAACAACTGGACACATTTGATCTACATTGTTAATATGTATATGCTGAAAAAAATAATTAAATAAAGCTTTTATCTAAGTATTAAATACATTTTGTTGAAAACAATACTAATTCACAAAAAAACACAGTGAATAAGTGGATATTCAAAACACAACCAGAGATGATTATAGTCAGTTCAGGTTTACCGAGTAATCATATTCTTATATCTCTGGAAATTGACAGCATTTGAATTTGAGAGAAAACTGAAGCATACGACGGAAACACACAAAGGTGCAGAGAGAATGAAAGAACCTGCATAAGGTTATTCCAGCAAAGATGTTCCAGTTTTTAACTATGGCTGGAGCTGGAGCCAGTTAAAAACTGGCTGAATTTATTTTCAGCATGAAAGAGCCACATCAGTGCCCAATTTTTCTGTCATTATTATAAAGGTCTCTTAATTTATCCTTTAATCCTTCCTGAGTTTTTTGTTTATTTGTGAAGTAGTGTAGTAGAGACAATTTAGCCACATAGATAAGTTTTTTATCCCAATTGCCCTGCAAATAATGCCATGAGTTCAATGCCTTTGTTTATTGCCGCTCTTTTAGTGAAAACTTTTACAATCCTTATTTGTTGAACTGAAATGAACCAGCAGCAGGAATTGCATAGATTTTAGAGTAAAATTTATCAATACCATTTGTTGATATTGAAAGACCAAAAACAAATACAGATAGAAGTCAGTGAATTGTCAGCATATCTGTATGCCACATTGACCTGTCTAAACTCCTTGACATGTGATTTCAAAATCAACCATATGAAGATAAGTAATATTCAGTTATATTATTCTCTGATAACGATCAAACAATTTATCATTTTTGTTTGGCTGTTTTTCCCCTAGTTCCTGACAAAAGTGGTACTTTCCTTTGGATGAGCAGCAAACTGGTGCTGGGATAAATCTATTTTTCGGGGCTGATGGAAACATAAAGAGCTGTTGCTGGGTAAGCTTTAGTGGCTGTTAGCCACTGGTACTGATTTGATGGAAAAGGCCCCACACTGTCTGTGAGTAGCAAGGGTGAATACTTTCTGTATGTCAGAAAAATGAATACATGAAGAATACATACTGTATATTTTATACTCATAATATTGGTGGCCACAAATGTATGTCATGTGAGATTTTTACCTAATTAGGTTAAGAACTTCACAAAAAATAACGAGTTTCCATAGATTTATGCATGGTTTCTCAGTGGCATAAAGAGAAGCAACTTTTAATTAGATGGAAGCTGGTGAGAGGAGATAAAATACATTGAGAAACAACACAGCCATATTCATAGAGCAACCAGGGTCTCCTCATTCAGACTTTTCCTTACTTCAACCGTTCCTTGCATCGTGTGAAAGATATTGTCTCTGTATATAGTGTGAGAACTATATTCTTCATTTGCAGAAGGACTATGCCAAAGTATAGCCTTTGAAGTCTTAATTGGGTATGCTGGAAGCAATCTTTGTGTTTAGATAAAATAAGATGGGTGTATGCATCTCTCATGGATCACTACATAGTCTGTATACCTAACACACATCCCCCCAAGCACACAGACAGACTGACAGAGAGAGAGAGAAATAGAGAGAGAGAAACAAAATAGAGACCCGTAAAGTTTACTTGAACTTCTCTTATAGTATAATTCCTGTCTTGTTAAAGTATGAGTCACAATTTATTTGTTTGGAGTAGATTGCAATTTTAGTTCCCACTTTTTTGGATCCCTTAACTAAAACTATGAAATTTAGTGGCATGTCAACAGACTGAGGAACTTACAGGAGTTTGATGAAGTGCAGCATCTCTGAAACTCTCTTTCCAATGATATAACATTGGTCAGAGTGTCTAAATTCTCATTCAACTTCTCTAATTCAGGCTGACTTTTTCAATAACGGTGCTAGGTTAACTCAATCTAGCAACAGACAGCTCGATGAATTGCCCTGTCACTCACTTGGAGTTGTGCACTTGCCGCTAAACTCGGAATCTGCTCAGCTGGAACACAATTAAGCAGCATCAAATGAAAATCAGTGTTATTCTGTGAGCATTTGCAAGGAGACACAAGGAGGTCCAGTCGGCTTCCAACTGTGACACGAAGACAGCACAACATTAAGGTCGGAAAAATGAGAAAGGGGTTTCAGTGTTTGAAAAAGAATAGAGGACAGACAAGAAAAGCATGATAGAAAATTAAAACCAGCATGCAAAACAGATCAACATTTAACTCACCCAGAGTGACCTCTGTCTGCATGGGCATGGATAATGCTGGGTGCTTAACTTCACAGCTGAATAGGGCATCGTTATCCAGCTGAGGGTTGAGGGTCCAGGTAAGTCGAGCCTGTACCACAACAGAGCCGTCGCTCTGAGGGATCTGAGTGTGACTAAAGTAGTACAGAGGGTCCGTGCTGTGTACCCAGCGGGGGAACTCTCGGCTCACCACTGTCTCTGGAATGACCTCTGTTGCAGGGCTGGGTTCATAGGCCTGCTGGCCCTGAGTATGAATGCGCTGAGGGCTCTCTGTGTACAGACGGGCCGACCGGCTTTCCGGATCGAGAAGGGAGAGGGAACGGTGCAGTTTGGTCTCATCAAGGTCCCTGCTGATGAGTGGCCTGGCTCCTCTCCATCCTGCTGAGCCGGCTGCTCGCTCGCTGGTGGAGGGTTCAGTGTAGGAAATTACCTCTATCAGCTCACCATCACGCTTAAAGTACACCTGATGAGAGTATTGGAAAAATGGGATATTGATGGTATGACAAGAAAAAAGAAACAAAACAAGATATATTTTAAATCGGATTATGCATAAATGAAACAATGCACTTGATAATACTACATAGTTCACCCACTTCTGAAAACATATTTTTTTAAAAATTGCTTGTAATTCTACAAACTTTTCTCCAAAGCCAAAATATGTTTAGCTTTTCCTTTTATATACTTAGATGTTCAAAGCATCCTGATTATTTTCAGACCCAATAGTGGAGTGCTGATGCATCCTATTTTATTTTAACATCTGTAGCATGTTTGCATAACTTGTCAGTAGTCTGTTTTTGCCTAATTGAATCCACTGGACATAATTAAAAGAGCACACACCTGCTTATGAAAAGCTCTCACAGTTAGCAGCGTATGTCTGTGTAAACAAAGCCAGGAAGTTCAGATAATTGTCTTGTTCGTCTGCAAGAGGGGACCGTGTCAAGGCCCAGATATAGAGAATCATTTCTGCAGCTAATAACAGTGGTGAATATTTTCCCTTCACAGTTCTACCGAGACACTGGAATTTCACTGTATTAGTTCGATGGAGAACTAACAATCTGGAGGTACAGAAAGACAATCAGAAAACTCAATCAACAAGTTGCTTAAAATTAAAGTTTTGTAATCTTCCTAAATTAGGAGACCTTCAAGAAACAAAAGGGTTCCTCTTAGATGTTTTTAATCACAAATTAGCTTAAGATTTTCAGGGTCTAAGAATTTCCCCAGAAATAAAACATTTACATAAAATAAAAAACAACAACACTACACATCATTAAGTAGCTTTGGGAAACTTGTGAAATTTGTATTAAAAAGTCTAGTCTTTTGGTCATACTACACAAGAAAGACTAAATATCTAAATTCATGACAGTTTTAAAGGCAGAAAAGTATATGATTTTAGAATGATTTACTGGTTGACCAAAAAAATGACAATAATAACAACAACAATAATACATTTAATTTATAATGCCTTTTTTTAACTTTAGACGTCAAAGGGCAAAAACAAAAACAAAACAAGTGATTGTAATGGATAAAAATAAATAAATGAATAAAAGATATTAAAAGCACACTTTCCTTACTATATGTGCTTTTTTTTCTTTCCAGTGGAAAGGAATGGCGTTATATTTCTACTGGTTTGTAAGAAATGTATTTTTAAAAACTCATTCTTCAACACAAAGGGATGTCCTTAATATCAGAGAATTTACAGCCTCAGTCTATGAGTTTAATAAAAATCTCTGACTGCCTAATCTCTTGACAGGGAATTCATATCTCATTCCAGTACATGCCTAGAAGATATTGGCATTGAAACAAGGTTGTATAGTCTTTGCCTGTGGTAACGGTATTTTTGAAACGATGTGCCTTTTTCTGTGTTGTTGAACAAAAGGACCGTTCAATCCGCAGCTCTTTTGGGGGACATGTGGTCATCTAAATTCTAATTTCTGAGGATCAAAGAAACATTACTATAAGATGTGCATTTCACAACCTTGTGTGCAGGTTCTTGGTATGCAGATTGTTCAAACATAGCACTAATGCACCCTTTCAAGCTGTGGTGCCTCAAGCCAACATTTGCAAAAGATACTCTTCCTGGACAGCAATTACTCATCAAATTGTGTGTCCTCTGTGAAAAGACATTAACCTTTGAAGTGACAGTATAATTTGTATTGACATTGGGGTTTTTTTGTACTAGTTTTAAAATGGCCACCTCAGACTTCATTCCTGAATGGAAATACTTACTTTTAAATCAATATGACTAGCACAGCTTCATTTGTTTCAACTTTCATTTTAGCTATTTCAAATAAATGGTTAATAATGTCCTTATCTGTCAGTCCTGATGACGTTCAGTGAATATTTTCAGTAACTGAAAACAACACTGTAAGTTGTATGTGCTTTCAGGGTTGAGTTTATAGCTTACTTTACAAATGAGACCAGCCATCTTGAAACAGGAACACAGTTAAAAACCTAGCCTTGATCTCATTGATTCCACAGCACAGTGTTTGTAATGGTGATAAATGATGATAAAACTCAACTGGCTCTTACAACAAATAAACAGCTCTTCTTAATGACGGCTTTTAAAAGTATTCATATCCCATATTTAGGTTATATTCAGCACAGACACAGATTTCATGAACATTTTTTTTTTAATTAAACAAAATAATGTTGGACAAAAGTATTTATCTCATATTAGATGACAATTTCTCAGCCAGTCTGTTTGTGTGCTTAATAACTTTTGGAATGTAGCTTTGTTAACTGATACAGAGCAATAATATCTTGCAAAACTCTCTTCCTCTCTCTCTCATATAAAAGTGATGAAGCTGTTGCTAAAATATAAATATTTTAGTAAGTTCTGAACATTTTTGGTTGCATAAGTATTTTAAGTTATATAAAAAGAGGGTGCAAATGTGTTACAATTACACATTCAGGCTTAAGTACATGCATAAACTGCAACTGACATTTGGACATAGTAAGTTGCAATGTCAGAATTTTGCAATCTGATGCTGGTTCACTAGTGTCAAATCTACTGCTGACCATATGTAGATAGAATTGCTTTCTGCATTATTGTTTTGTCATCATTATTTGATCTCAATGACATTTTTGGGAAAATCAAGTGGAGGCTTGTAAACAATATATATCAACGACCAAGCCCAGAGGTGGTAGCTTCATGCTGTACATTTGTTTTGCAACTACAGGTTCTGCAGCTTGTCAGAAGAAGAACTAACTCCAGATTTTTTAACTCCCTCAAAAGTAGATGAAACTCAGACATAATTTAATTTGGTAAAAATACAATGATTCCAAATCTGGGTTTAGAATTATATAGCATGTCAGCACTAGCATTTCTATATTGGTCCCTAAAATCACCTATGTTGAATGTTCATGGATTTCTGGCACAGACACATAAAAGCAACACTCAATAAATAAATAAATCTATATCTTAAATATTGCATTTTAGGTAGCAAAAGTTCAACAAAATACAACTTGTTAATTGACAAGCAAAAAGTATAAGGCTAATTTGGAACCTAATTCTGCTAAAGACTCAAGTATTCATGTCCTGTTATCTGCATTTACCTTATGCTCTGAACCATGGCTGGAGATTCAAATGCCGCAAAGGCAGCGTAAACATTAGTCTTATCCACAATGACCCCATTGCATCTGCTAGCAAGTCTGACTCTTCACTGTGTACCAAAGCACCTCATTAATTATCACAGCAGGTGGAAGGGGAACAGTGTGGATTAGACAGATCCATGCACCTGTTTCATAGCTTTTGTTGAACAAAATGGTGTTGGTATGCAAAAACACCTGTTTTGGCTATAGAATTGTATAACAGAGAATTAACTCAGTAAATCTGCATGACTGATTTGTTTCCATATCCATTATCATGCAACTTGATTTATAGGTAAATTATTAAATAAACAGGACCTGATTTAATAGCATGTGAGAGCTCTGTCCTCCGCATATTAAAGTCAAAGATAAGACTATAGCAAATGTATTATTTTCAGGTAAATATTGAGAACCTGCTTAGTCTTTTATAATAATTCTACTGTGACTTTTCCATTTGTCTACGTAAATTAATGCTTCATAAAATGCATGACTGAAATAAACAGCATGTTGCTCCAGGGAAAGTGTGAAATATTATTTCTGTGTCATTATCCTGCTTGTTTCATTTCCTCTTCCATCACTGGCAGATCAAATCTACAATATGGATATGAAAGCCGAAGATATGGATATGAGGTGACATATGTAAAAAAAGACTGATAGAAGGGCTGAGAAATATCAGTCACATTTGTGATGATGCCTAAAGTAAGTACTTGTGCATGTGTTATGATCTGAGATAATCTCTTCACCAACAAGATTTTATGTAGCAAAAGCCCATTAAAATTATATGCAATTTTAGCCCTTGTTGTTATTGGTTGTATTGTTGTTTTGTGTTTGCAACTGATGTGTCACCAGTTCTTAGAGTTAATTATGTAAAATTCAAACCAAATCAATGGAAGATTTTTGAATGTATTTCTAAGAACTACTAAACAGATTCATTCTAGCTTTTCCTTTGAAAAGCTAGAAATAAAAGAATAAAGATTTTCTTACATACAATCTTACCAGAATTTAGCTCTCATAGGATTTATGTTTATTGTCTCTTTGAATGTACAAGCATTTCTAAGAAATTGAAAACTAAATGTATTGGGTTTCTGTTTATGTGGAATGTTATCTTGAAAATGTGATAACATTTATACAAGTGAAGAAAGCCACCCATCATTATTTACCACCATCATTCTTTTTATATTTGTTATTACTCTTAAAATGACATCACCAGCCTTTATTGCAAAGTTAATTTGTTTTTCTTTGCGCTTCTGACTAATGTGCCAAAAGTTGAGTTTCTCTGACAAAGAGAAAAGTGAAAGCATTTCCATTCTTTTATTCTTTTCAAATGAGACAGCAAACACTGATTAATTTTCCACATTTGATTATAAATCTACCAAAGCAACACTTAATCTGTTTTTCACTCTGATACATGTCTACTATAAATTGCTCCTTTCAAAAGTGACATGGTCCCTTTTGTTGGGTGACACTGTGAACAAGAAGCTTTTCACTCAGTTTAGTGCAACTCATTTGCATTCATAGAAAGGTTTTCACAATGTATATGTGTAAAAACACACTACCAATTATTGTGCTTCAAATTGAATTTGTCCATTGAGACGACTTGGAAAAATAAGATATGAATAAATTGCATATTAAAGTGGAGGTCACATTTATTGGCACACTTGCAAAACAAGTGAAATGCTCTGAAATAAATGTATAATTTATTCTAGTAGCATCATTTCATATTAAAAGAAACAGTACCATCAAGCTCCTATGTTGATGTATTTCTCAATCAAGAAAAAATATAAAGATGAAAAAAAAAACATGTTTTCTGTAAAGCCATCATTGAGACCCCTAATTAGACCAAGGCAGCATAGCTCCATGACCATGCTTAACAAT